TTCCATTGTCCATTATCTCTGATAGAGATAGTCGGTTTACTTCAAAGTTCTGGGAAAGGTTACAGAAAGCTTTAGGGTCTGAAATTCAATTAAGTACAGCTTATCATCTGCAGACTGATGGGCAGAGTGGAAGAACTATTCAAACTCTCGAAGATATGTTAAGAAGTTGTATTATTGACTTCGAGGGATCATGGGAAGATCACTTGCCATTGATAGAGTTTGCATATAACAATAGTTACCATTCCAGTATCCAAGCAGCACCGTATGAAGTGTTGTGTGGACGTAAATGTCAAACGCCGTTATGTTGGAATGAAGTGGGTGAGAAACAGTTGACGGGTTCTGAAATTGTTCAAGAAACTTTTGAAAAGATCGAACGATTCCGTGAAAGAATAAAAACAGCACAAGATCGCCAGAAAAGTTATGCAGATAATCGTCGAAAGCCAATTGAGTTTAATATAGGTGATTTTGTGATGTAAAAAGTCTCGCCATGGAAGGGTGTCATCAGATTTGGAAAGAAAGGGAAGCTCAGTCCAGGGTATGTAGGGCCGTTCAGAATATATAAGCGAATTGGGCCATTAGCATATCAGTTAGAGCTGCCAGAAGAACTGAATCTAATTCACAACACTTTTCATGTGTCGAATTTGCGGAAATGTTTGGCTGATCCGAAGTTAGCTATACCGTTACTAGAGATTCAATTAGACAGTAAGCTGAATTTTGTGGAAACACCGGAAGCTGTAATCGACAGAAAGATCAGGGTGTTGAGAAACAAAGAAATAAGTCTAGTTAAAATTTGGTGGAAGTTTCACAAAGGACCAGAAGCAACATGGGAATTGGAATAAAAAATGCGATCAGAATACCCACGTCTTTTTGATTAAAGGAATTCCGGGACGAAATTCTTTTGAGGGTGGATAATGTGATAACCGGATCCTGGTTATCACCCAAGGTAAATAATATGTGATTATCTGATTAAAAGATTACGTGATAGCATGATAAATTGATACGTCTAGTCATGTTGGTATGTGAAAATTATGTGTATGTACATATGTGAAAGTATATATATATATACATGTATTTATATATATATATATATATATATACATAGTATATATGCTTGAGATAAGTGTGTATATATATATATATATGTATACATGGTGTATGTATGCATGTATATGGCGGTGTAAGTTGTTGACTTTCCTGATTTGGAAAGTATAAAAGGAGGGCTTAGCCTCCATATTTCTTCTTCTGGTCTTTTTGATAAGCTGTGCAATTTAAAGAAAGAAGAGAGTTGGTCGGATTAATTCTGTTTGGAGATTCAAGTTAATCTCAAGTGTTTGATTTCAAAAGCTTGATAAGGTGAGTAATTTATTAACTCTTTTGCAAAAAATTATTATTGGTTTTGTATGAATCTTGTTTATGTTGGAAAGAAATCAGTCTTTTGTTCTAAGTATTTTATCCGGATTTTAAACTGGACAAGGCTTGTCCGGATTGTTTTAAATCGGTCAAAAGTTAAATGATGTGTTGTCCGGATTATTTTATAAATCGATGAAAGGTTGAGCAAGTTAGCCCTAAATCGCCTAAGTGTTGAACGGTTTAGCCTTAAACCGGTTAAGAGTCGATCGGGTTATGATTGGTAAGAAAAGTTATCTTTTTGAACTGAGAAGTAAGAATACGACCAAATGGTGGCCGGATTATTTTAAATCGGCTAAGTAATGAGCGGGTTATTGACCGGACTTGTTATCCGGACAAAGATGATTTTGATTCTAAGAGATAAATCGATCAAGCTTTATGCGGGGTATTGACCGGACTTGTTATCCAGACAAAGTTATTGATAATTATATCTAAGTGTAAATCGGACAAAGTTCATTCTGTGTGTTGTCCGGATAGTTGACCGGATTCGAAGTCCGGCTAAGTCAAAGTTGACCGGATTTGAAGTCCGGCTAAGTCAAAGTTGACCGGATTTGATGTAATGTTGTGTTTTTTATGAGAAATGTTATTTTATCATAAAAAATAAGTTTTGAAAGAAAT